ACACACGCACACACACACACACACACACACGCACACACACACACACACACACATATATATATGTGTGTGTATGAAGACGTGTGTGTACATGCGGATGTGACATGCTATTCACTGCGCTATTACTCTGAAACTCATTCACAAGGCATTTGTAAAGTCACAGTAGTGGCATCAAATACTAGGATCATTTACGTACAGGTGATAGTTGTGAACTTTCACCTTAAGCTGTGCATGTTGTATCTAAATCCAAGCCTCGCAGTACATTTCCACCTTGAAGTTGACACCTCGATGTTGTCATACCAACATGGATAGACACCATACTAATCTTCATTGTTTATTTACTTATCCCACTCGTCTCGATCATAGTCTGGTTACAAGGGTGATCTAGGCAGCAAAATCTATGGCTCAGCAGATGTAGTAGCCGACCCTCTAACAGCCAAACAGAAGGTCATCATTGGCTTGAACGGACTCACAGACGAGGACAGGGATACCGCTGCGAACGAGCACTTCAAGGGGTAGGTTTGACACTTGGTATCAATGTATCTGTACAACTGATCTATAGATTTGAACATCTGTATATGTATCCACCTGGACATGTATCAAGTGCTTCATTTGTTTGCTCTACTGATTTTGTGTTCGAATCTGCTGTTGTTTATGGTACATTCGATGTCTTGATGATACTAAGAAGATTATACATCTACATACTTGAATATCTATCTACCTGGCTGTGTTTCGAGCGCTTCACGCATGTACTCTATAAATTTATCTCGTTCTGACCTGCCGTTGTTTATATTGTGTCCGACGATTTATGATACGTTAGGAGTAGGGTAGCTCGACACGTTGGCAGGCTAGCATATCGCTATACATCGCGTGCGTATATCATCTGACTTGTTTTTTTTGAACTCGACCTCAGAACGACTGTGTACGATCGTGTATGTTGAAATATACTTCAAATGGCTCAGTATCCGCCTCTTCGTTTTTGTTTGCACATTTGTCTAGTGTGTACGCATTCAAGAATGAATCCATTCTTTGGAATACGGTAGACCTAATTGTACATTCCCCAGCCTAAGACTAAACACATGCGTTCGATGGGCTCGTACTTCTCTACAGGTACCTACAATGGACCGATGTCATCCGCTCAAAACTGGTGGATCACGTGTCAGAGAATCTGTCGAGCTATCCCAAACTCCGCATCAAGTACAAGGTGTGTGCGCGAGGTGCTTGTTCGTGTTGGTGTTTGTGTTATTGTCTCGGGACGCGCATGAAGGTGACCGGCTTTTAAGATGAGGTACAAGTCTATGCTCATCTTCAGTTGATATTATTGTCTTATATATCAGCAATGGGAGAACAGACCCGAGATGCTGCGCGAGATGCTGGACGGAGCATCTTCCAAATGCATCAAGTACAAGAAGGATGAGCAGGGTGACAATATCGAGGAGAGCGCCTACGGACAGATGGACAAGAAGATGTTCTACAAGCAGAAGGATGGCAACGATAAGGCACCTCGTTTGACTACTGAGTTCGACAAGGAGGTGTATGAGAACATGCGTGGTATCCGCTTGAACCTGCCTCACTACAACATTGAGGGCGAGAAGATGGATCTGGAGACGACTGAGTTGCATAGAAACGATGTGGTCTCTGTCGAGGTGCAGGTGTGTGACCTACAGGACACAGTATTATCCTATCAGTACATGTGTATACACCGAGCCGTGTTCTAGTATAGTATGCAAATGAAAGTGTGACCAGGTGTAGGTACGAGCACTATAGTACAAATAGTATCCGAAAAGTTCACAGAATCGTTCAAATAGTTATGCATATAGGTGCATAAATCATGGTACTACAGTACACAGCATTGTCTAAATAGTATACAAATACGTGGAAAGATTATGATACAGTGTAGTATGCGCAGAATTGATGCATGGTGTTTCCGCCGAGGTGCAGATATATATCAAGTCCAGTCTTCGTGCATGGGGACATAGTTTTGTTTCTTGGCTTGTGTATGGAGAACTGTATCTGGTTCATGCTGTCCATTCAGTTAATTACATAATCCTGTCCTGTGTCTGGGTGTGTGTACAAGTATCTATTCCACCCCCTCCGGGGTTGCTTACACTGTATGGGGTTTCAAACTAAACCGTGCTGTGTTTATACCAACCTGTGCAGATCACTTCATCTATGTACGAAACTTTCTTTGGCCTCAAGAACAATCTGAGAAGCGTCACAGTCTTGCACAAGTTCCAACGAAAGGGTAATAACTCAACCTTCAAGAAGCAAAAGTCGCCATTTGGAAAGTAAGTATTCCTCAGGAAGATACGCAGCTGAAACGTGACAGTGTAAACGTTGTACCGAAAATCTCAATTTTTATGATAGGATGCACGAATGATACGTGTTTAGTTTTGAATGTTTGCATGCGATATATACGAGTTTCCATGAACTCTCAATTGTGACCATTCGGAAATATCTCATTTACGCACGCTAGTGCTCGATTATGTTTTTATATTTTTCTCATTCTCTTAGGTTTTTTCAGATAGCGCATTCCTTCTCTTAGCTGAGCTTGCTGATCCGATCTTATTTATGCTCTTAGTTTAGCGTGCTGAACTTATTCGCATATCTTTCTGCTCCCGTATAAAAGCGATTGACAATACCTTCACGACCATGGCGTGCTCTTGTGTGCTGTTTATGTTGCTGTACATGTCCATTCCACCCATAATATTACAAAGCATCGAGTGACTTGCCTCGTGAGCGCGGCTCCGAAGATTTGCTGTTTGAATTTATATGGCTCTATTTCTTTTTGAAATGTTTTAAGCATTCAGGCGTCAAAGACAGCTCTTCTGCTCTCTATATGTATACATTTTTGGCTCACCGCCGAGGGCTTCGGTGTGTTCTGCATATTCGAATCCTGTTACTAATCCTAAAAATTCTTATATTTTACGCACAGCTTGTCCGCGATCTAAATAGCCACCTACTCATCTCAGTGTGACGGATCTATCTACTCTTTTGCTGCAATGGCAGTGAACACAGATGTCTGTATGATTTACAAAACTCGAACAGACGTGTTGTTTAGCTAAAGGCATAGCGGACCCGATTATATGGATAGATATTTTTAGTTTCGTCTTATTTTGGAACGAGGCCTTTTGGTAGTACATCCCATTTAAAATATATGTATGATAGTTACGGTATTGAATAGAAAGACTGAAGTCTGCCTTCATGAGAATCCGCAAATACTTTTGGCTTAGAAGGACACGTTTTGTGGATAGACATTCCAGACTATATATATCCATATATATGTAAATGATAGATATTCTAGAGCCCTCGCCTCATGAGCAGTCAATGAACACCATTTTGGCTTCGATAGACAATGAGCACGTGATGTCAAACTGGATGTGTAGTTGACTCGATGCTATATGTATGTATTTTTTTAGAATAATCATTTCGGTCCGGAGCAAGACCAGTTTGTATCCAATTCGGAATGTAGTTGTTGTAGTGAATGTCCAAGATTATATTTCCTGCGGTGAGTCAGAAGTAATGTCACTCTCATATCACTAAATTAGTATATATGGTACGTTGAATAGTCCAAAGTAACCACATTGTTATCCATTAATTATAAGGCAACAGCAATAATAGCCATGTTGTAGTATATATAGTAACAGGTTGAATTCGGTAGTCGTAAATAAATATAATAAAAACTGGTTGCGGATAAAGTGTTTCATTTATACATGTACATATAAATATTGATGTAGGTATATGTGTATATGTACATGTATATATATATATATATATATATACATATATATATATATACACATTGTGAGTATCTTATTCAATTCACGAACAGTTTAGAATGAAATAGCCGTATACTTTATATTATAATTATATTAAATAGTAATATAATAGCTTACAAGAATATGAAGACTGATCACCTCATATGTCTACTATCAGTCCCCTCTGGTTGCTGACACAGAATAGTTAGGTATACACCAGTTCACGATCTCCTCTGTAGACCGTCACTGGCCATCTATTATTTTACACTGCTTTACAACTAACGCTATCACTCAGTTTATGTTCAGGGTTTATTGATACATATGCACCAAGAACTGGTATGTATTAAACCCATATTACATGACACAACACTGGCATTCCATCGCAAAAACCAACCCTCATACAACTACATGAATCATCGTTGTACGTGGACGACACACACTATGACCACATCTCTGCAACACGGTGCCGTAATCTCCCTCTGACCTCAAGCCGAGTGAAGTTCCAGCCTACATGACAGTCTAATCTATACCGCACAACTAAAATTCGCCGCCAAACTATCGTCGCGGAATCTCCGTCCCATCCAACGTTAACGGAAGCATACCCTAGGCCCGCAACATCTTTTTAGATATGTCGTTTCCCGCAAAAACCACAATTAATTGAATATGCGTTACGGTACAAGTCACGAGGCTGCTGCAGTGGAAACTGCTTCAAAATAAACTTATCATGATCCTCATGCAAGTATATGTGTTTAAACGAAGCCGACGCAAAATGCGTGTCAGTAGCGACAGTATCTGCATCCCACCAGCCTTCCCATCTGCCCCAAGCAGAACTCTTCGCATCAGCCCAAATCCGAGCAGATTTCGTACGCCGTAACCGATGACTTTTACCTCTGAGCAATTTCCTTCAAGGAGAACTATACAACAACCAGGGCTTATAATCCCTATGCGGCTTGTACCTATCCGCATTCTGCTGCTCAAGTGGCGGCATTTCAATGCCTTGAACGTGTTCTTTAAGCTCATCCAAAATGAAAGGCGAATGACCCCTGGCGCAACTTCAAATTTGAGCCGTAAAGATGAAATCACTTCAACAATCTGAGCTGGCCTAACTTAACGTGTAGCCAGAGTATCCTGCTTCTCACGTACCCTGTATCGAAACCACCTGTAGCAAACACCAGTACATCTACACGATGTACATTTTCTGCTTTATGCTGGAATTCCTGTTCTCGCCTGTCACAAACGACTGTCACTGCATCTAGAACCATGGCTTCTATACCACGCTCAGACAGCAGCTTCTTCAACATCCAAACTTGCAACTGATTACGCTGCACAGGAAGGTATGCTCCGTTTTATAGAAATAAGGTGATAATTTAGTAGCAGAGTAGAGTTGGCCAAAGCATTTAGCGTTTAAGTAGCAGCAATCTCGCGCCAAAGCCAATCCTTCGGAATGCGAATATTAAAGGACCTCAGCTTTCCCATTGCCTTTAAAGTGCTGATCGATACACACAAAGTAAGAAGGAATCTGCTGTGCCTTACAAATAATGTCCATGCCATAATAGTATTGAGCACCGAATCCGTGTCCATCGTAATCTGTTGCGGGACACCCAACGGCAAGACCTGCTCTTCAAGAATCTAACGATATCACACACCATTTGTGATATCCGGACAAAAAACGCATACAAACACCATCCGCTTGAGTGTATCATCAACAAAAATGCATGTCAATTATTGCCATGGCCGAATCTAGTTACTCCGGCCGTTGTAAATCCAAGAAATCTGTTGACAGGGTCCACAGCTACGACGCACATGCTCATATTGCTATCGCAACAAAGTCCAACCCATGGTTATTTATCAAGTTGCACAAAACGCGCCGACGTGATGTACGTGAACAACTCAAACTTGTACCGCAGCACTCGCTTGACCACAGCATCATCCACTTCGATACCATATAACCCGCGACACACGTCCTTTGGAACATCTCTTTCCGTACGTGGACCAAATTTAAAACCCATTCAATTGCTCACGAGAAATTTCCAACAGTGCAGAAGGGAACAGTCAGCTTCCGACTCACCTGGAACAATTCGCTCCGCCTTTGCCTGAGTAGGCGTCGTCATCGCAACCACGCGCTCCTGATGTTCCTCAAAAACTTACTCAGCCCGGGCAAGAGCGTCCTCCAAGACAAACACATCCGGCATCATGGTACTGATCATATAGGTACGTGACTCTACCACGTGCTCTACTTCCTTCATCATGAACCTACCAAGCGTATGATCACGGCCACAACGTACAGGTTTTTCTACAATACCAGCCACTGCAGATGCAACCCGGTCCTATGCGTCAGTGCTTTCACTAGCACACTTAGTAAAGGACGATCAACTTGTGCGTGACTGCGTGTTGTTCAGAACTTCAGAACTTCAGAAGTCTCCGCTCAAAATTGAAAGTTGCCATAGCCTAAAATGAAACGGTTCATTTAGAAGGCTATGAAAAACTGAAAATGCCGTAAATATGTAGTGAGAGAGTAGAGACTGAGAATCACCGTGACTGAGAGCCAATACAATCATCAATTTCATCATAGAATGGGGGTCATTCCAGGTTTCACATAGAATAGTTTCTTTACGGACTCGTCCGTTCTCCCTCATATTTTTACTTTCCCTACATATTCTATTTTGTTGAAAAAAAACAAAGGTGCTTTTCTAAATATTAGGCCATAATGGCCATTAAATATTTATATTGAGTTGCATAACAGGGCGTTAAAATAATTATGAGCCATTTTTCTGAGTCACTCCTATACCTCGGACAAACTCTTGTACAGAGCTTTATCTAGTTTAGTTTGCTAATAGTCCAATAACCGTAGTGTACAAACCTCGGACTACAATAGTGTATTTTAGTACTTAGTACTTAGTCATACAGTCGAGAGACTCGAGACCGTCACACACACACACACTCTCTGAACATAAATATGTTGTAAATAGTAGATTTTATAGAAGTTCCAATATCCCATGGACCCAAGGGGCCATGCCGGTACATCAATTCTCTCTAGAGTAGAGACTAAAATAGAGTCTGTAATATAAACTTGGTACTCGGATAGGAATAAAGTTTTAATCGTTTTTTAAATATCCTTTGATGGGTCTCTATAAAGATTTCTGCCTCTCTAGCTAGAGTAATAAATGGTAAATACTAAAATACTAAAATAGAGACTGCAACACTGCAGAGTGCAGAGAGAGGGAGTCCGAGTCTCTCTACAGTCTACCACTCTACGGCTCCGTGAGTCCACGCCGGGCGTAGAGCGGTTGCGGCCAACGATTCCCGAAGCTCCGTTCAATATAAAATTAGTAAACTATTATGTATGCGCCATCAGACATCTCACTTGTCAACTCTCGAGTCTCGTACTCTCTCGTCAACTCCATCAACCAAAACAATATTTAAAATTAAAACATGCTGATGCTTGGCTTTTCCGACTGAACTATGACGCCACTCATGCAGTGACGTTATTCGTTACGACATAACGGACGCAAGATCCCTCATCCCACTCATCCTAGAAATTTCTAGTTCCAAAACTGCCATTATTTTTATTATTATATTACTATTTAAAAAATAGAATAAATAAATAAATTTAGATTTTAGAGGGCCATGAAATAAAAAACAATATCACAAGAATTATAATATTAAAAAAAATCAACTTTTTAGAAAAACGTTTTAGAAAAACGGATATGTATAAAATTAGAAATACTCCAAGACTCTACATTTGTTCTGTAATCTGTACGGCTCATAGTCGGCTGACTCGGGTTTTGTTCAAAAAGTACTCATATCAAAAAAAACAAAATGACTAAAAGTGCCGGACAAGTCTTCAAGGTTTGTTCTGAAATAAATAATACGAACAGAAAAACCAGTTCACATTCCACAAGCCGGACCGAAAACAAAGAAACAAAAACAGCAGAAAAATATTACAATATGGAGACAATATGCCCATATTTACGATAAATATATATGAAGTAGAGTCTATACTTTCAATATTTGTTTGCTCGTTTTTTAAAAATAAAATGCATATTACATAGCCTTTTTCTAAATATTCATATTTATATTTATAAATGCAAGAGCTGCGGACTCCGAGTGCCGAAGGCTAGTAGGCTTAATGTGATATAATCAAAAAAGTCGCCAAATGTCCAATAGGATTGCTTATCGGTGGCGAACATATAGCGACATACCTATTTCCTTAGCCTCCAAAAATTCAACTTGATTTCACACAATTCTATTTTTGTAAATATAAAATGCTCCACCGTGGGCGTGTTGTGATTTTTTGTTGTTGAATTGGTGATGGATGGAGTCGTGGACTCGGTGAACTTGAGTCTTCTTGGCTGTCGCACAGTCGCGGTGGTCACTGTGTTTCTGGGCTGTCATGGAGTCGTGGAGTCGTGGACAGTGGTGAGTGGTCGTGGACTCATGGACTTTCAGTTTAAGTTTCTAACGATCGATTTTATTATTATTACAAAAAGTATTGAATGTTTTGTTTTTGAAAAAATAGAGAATGAATATTTAGAAGCTATATAGTTTCCTCCAATAGTATTTACATTGTGTAGAAGGCAAAAAGCCAAAAACATTTATGTGTTATTATTGATTAGGCTGTTGTGGAACTTCAAACGCCCTCCCAGACCCTGTACCGTTGCAATAATTGCATTCCTCTGCCGCGTCCAACAAACTGAATTGGGGCAACTTAATATTTAGTTCGTTTTTTTTATAACAAAAACCAAACAGTTAAAATTAGGCCGTATTTATTGTTTTTCATAGCCTTCTGAAACAGTGAAAATAAATAGAACAGAATAGCCTTCTAAATTGAAACACAGAAGGCCCAAGCCCGCATCAAGGCTGTGTAAATAATTTTTTGGTTTTCATGTTTTTATAAAAAAAACAAATAAACAAAAGGGGGATTGCCGTTTTAAGTTTTCACAATTCACACGTTATTATTTAGATTAGCTATCTTAACTTCCTCGACACTCGACACTCGACACTCGACACTCGACACTCGACTGAGTCGAGACTCTCGGAAATGAATAAATATATATAGTCTGTGTATCCCCTTGAGATATCAGAAAGTGAGTTGCTTTTATTTCAAAAAGGAGCCTACATCTAATTTGAAGTAAAACAGGTCCAACCCAGTTCACTAATATACAGGCAAGATGGACACAGTTGATACATTCAAGGTCATAGCAATCGTCGGCTCATTTATTACAGGGCTCGCTGGCCTGTTGGTCTTACCTCTACAGTCTAGATTGGACGACTCCACATTTGATGTCTTCGTCAGTTATAGGTATGATGGGGTGCAATCCTGCAAGTGTTTAGGCGAATATCTAGCTGAGTAGAGCACGGTATATATATATATATATATATTGCAAATTAATTTTCTGATTGTTCTCACTTATCTTCACACTAAAACAGCAACGCGTTCGGGGGCGGAGTGATCCTAGCTGTGGGACTCATGCACATGCTGAGCGATGCTAACGAATCTCTATCTGAGTACTACGATTACCCGTGGGCGTATTTCATGGCTCTGGTAGGATACTCGATAGTGTTTTTAATCGAAGACGTGATGCTAAACAAGCTTCTAAAACGATTTCGCGTCGTGTGTGAGATCAACAACATGGGCGGAATCGCTCACCAGCACGGTCACAATGCCATCGGCCACTCGGCAGATGTAGTCGGCAATGTCAACCCGTCCAATGCCGAAGGAAACAATCGCCACAGCGCAGTGGAGTTGGACGATACTGATGTACAAACGGGTAAGAGAAGCGCTGCCATGGGGTTGGAGAAGGACCACATACATGGCAAAGGGGATGAAGCTTCTCCGTCGACTGTTTTCGGTACCGAGATGAATAGCACTCTGTTGCAGGAAAAGTACACTCGGACCTCGGCCACCTTGCTGGCCTTCTGCCTCCTGGTAGCGATCAGTTTTCACTCATTTTTTGCGGGGCTGAGCATCGGTGTAATGACAGAAACATCAGATGTTGTGGCTACCTTGATCGCTGTGATTGCGCACAAAGGCGTGGCCGCGTTTGTACTCGGACAGTCCTTCCTTCGGTCGACTCTCAGCAAGCTTTTAGTGATCTGTCTGCTGGTTTTGTTTGCGGCCATGACACCCGTGGGGGTAGGTATTGGATGGTGGATCTCTAGTATGAGTGACGAAACGGAGAAGCTGTCCGGGTTTGTAGTGAGTCTAAGTGCTGGTACTTTCATTTACATCGGAAGTCTTGTGGTTAAAGACACTCCAGATCGCCTGACGCCCAATCCCGAAAAGAAGGCCGGTGTGTGGAAGCGGTACGCGTTGTGGTGGTTCGGTTGTATTTTGATGGCTGTGGCCGCGATATGGGCGTAGGAGCGCAAGCCATGTGATACTATGTACTTGAAATACTGGGTATATTACTAGCTACATATTCGCTGCTACCCCGTGGCCTGACAACATACAAAACGTAGTTGGCATTTAAACAGCGATGGTTGCGAACAGAGCCACTGGAAGATTTTGAGGTCAGGAGAAAGGAGAGAAAACGGCTACAATATGAGGGGGTGGTGGGTACGCACGAAATTATTTGGTGGGTACGTACGAAAATATTTAGCTCAACAGCAAGATAGAAATCGCTTCATCGGCTGGGCGGTAGGTATTGAAAGAAAGTTGCTTATCAACGTCTTAGACTGTTTATTATTATTAAATGAAGAACTGACTTTATATTCGGTTTGAAAATGTGTTAAAAAGCAAGTACACTCGCTAACAGCGAATACCCATTTCTTCTTAGGCGTACTCTAAAAGTTATTTGGTATTACAACTCCTGAGATGCTTGCCATAGAATTACTTTTTAAAACATCAGTCACTTAATGGAGAATTTCGGAACTGATTACGACATATATACATATATATATAGTTATATTGTTTATA